ATAACAAATTGGGCAAGACAAGTTGAGTTGGTTTGATCATCATCAACCATTCAAATAATATCTTAAAGGATGCAATTTAGATGCCACATGTTTTTAAAATGTATGTCTTGAAATACAGCGAACTTAGGCCAACGTCAACAAAAAATTCATATAAAATTTGATTTTTGTCGTATGAAACAAAGAAGCTGAAAATATAAAAGAAATCGAAGTCCTAATAAATATAACAAAGCAAACTGAATGAAAATAGGTTGTATTTTCGTACGATTTCCTGATACATGAAATAATGAATTTGAGATTCAAATTCAAAATACAACTACAACCAAAGATGTAATAATAACTTGGAATTGTAGAGGGACATTTTAGTCAATTTGACCTCTAGTGGACTAAATTTTCCACAACACCGTTGCTATAAATAGTCCTGATAGTATGCATCATTTTACCAAAACACTAAAAGATATTCTCTGATGGCGTTTAAAGTTACTTTTTTACCCTCTTTGTCGATCTTATTCTTCCTTTTCTTCATCTCTCGTACCATGGGTGATATTGGCAATCCCACCAAATTATCCTCCATTGAGTCCATCAAACAACTCAAAGGTTGTTGTGATAAGGGTAGCAAAGCACAAGGCCTCCATCAACTTAAACTATACCTTGCCCGTTTCGGTTACCTAAATTACCAACATACCCCTGAACACACCAATGCCGAAGACGACAAATTCGATGATGAACTCGAGTCCGCCCTCAAAAGTTACCAAAAATATTACCGTCTAAATACAACAGGGATACTAGATGAGGCCACAGTTTCACAAATGGTCCTTCCTCGTTGTGGAGTACCAGATAAAGAAATTCACCACCATGGATCGAAATCGTTACCTACTGTTTCTCTTTATCAATTCTTCCCAAATAACCTTCGATGGCCCCCCGGTAAATCCCAACTCACCTACGCGTTCGCTTCCGACTATCCAAACAATCATATACCTCCAGTTGTTCGTGCCTTCGACCGATGGTCTTCTGCTACCGGTTACTTTACGTTTTTGCAAGTCAATGATTTTACGAATGCAGATTTGAAGGTGAGTTTTAAAAGTGGAAGTCATGGAGATGGATCTGACTTTGATGGGCCCGGTCGTGTATTGGCGCATGCTTTTTGCGCCAACTAATGGGAGGGTTGATTTCGATGCAAATGAGAATTGGTCAGATGGTCCAGGAGCGGTTCCGAATGTTATGGATTATGAGTCGGTAGCGGTTCATGAAATCGGGCATCTGCTTGGGTTGAGTCATAGTGAAGATCCGAATGCCTCAATGTATGCTACCATCCCTTCTGGAGTTGTAAAGGGCTTGAATTCGGATGATATTCAAGGCATCAAAGTTCTTTATGGACTTAATTAATTATATATGTGGTCGTTATGTATGCATGCATGTATGTTGTGAGTATCTGATCATGACAATATGTACTAAGTATGTTATTATTGTTATTGTTATTGTTATTGTTATGTATTCATGTTGTGAGCATTTTGATCATGACAATATGTATTACTTATTTTGTTATTGTTATTATGTATGTATGTTATACGTACATATGTATGTATCTATGTATGTCCTGAGCATTTGATCAATTACTGTATGTTTTTCTATAAATATCAATATATTGTTTTTATAAACTATTTTGTGATATAAATGGCCAATTATATTTTGAAAAGCTTGTTCATTATTTATCTTAACCAAACAAATCAACAAATAGAAAAATAAACGAACAAATATTTGATGTAGGCTCAAAGTCAATGAGGCTTTGCAAGCTTGTTCATGAACGAACATAAATTAACGAACGAGACATTTGTTTATGTTCGTTCGTTTAACTAAACGAACAAGAAAACTTGTTCTCGTTCGTTCGCTTATTAAATAAACGAACTTCCCACTGAATGGTTCATAAATGGTTCGTTGAATGTTTGGTTCGTTTATGGCGTTAATTATGTCAGTATTTAATGATTTGAAAATAATAAGAAAATAAGATAATTAAATAAATTAAATGATCTATAATTATTCCTATGGGAAAATGACCAATGGGTTTAACTATTAGGGAAACACGATAAAAACTTATCTTTCATGGTTTTAACAAGTCTTTTTCATAATTAATAAAATGACAGTATATAAGGGACTCGGTCTTTTCTAGTACTGATTTTGGTACAAACAAGAAAATTCCATGTGGGGCGGAAAGAAAAGTCTGCACTCGTCTATGGAATTTATTTTGTTTCACGGTGGTAGGTTCCATTTTTCTTTTAGTGRGAGTTTTGGGTGTCGGTTTAAGATAAAAATCACTTGACCCAATTTTTCATGTCTCATACATGTCCACCAATCATATAAATACACGTAAACAGAGAGAGAGAGAGAGAAAGTAACATATATTAAATAGATGAAAATATGATGTGTTAGTTTCATTGGTGAAATAAGAATGATACTTGTGACTTTAAGACCGATGATTTTTATGCGTCGGTTTATATGGCTCTAAACTTCTAATGAACCAACACTAAATTTTGAAATATCAGTTACACAATCGTATATCGTAACATTTGACTGAAAAATAAAGACATACATCCAAGGGCATATTGTATGAAAAAATAACGTAATTTAACTTGATTCATATTTTGGGTAACATACTCTCAAAACTTTCATTTTGGTACCTAAGTTTAGGGGTGAACGCGGGTTGGGTTGGGCGGTTTATAACAATTTTACAACCCAACCCAATTATGGCGGTTTGGAAAATCTCAACCCAAACCAACCCATTCAAAAGTATAATCCAACCCAACCCAACCCTTGCGGGTTGAGGCGGGTTGGGTTGGGTTGGCGGGTTAGTAGTTACATAATATGACGAATGAAATAATTCATAAATATTAAGTTTATAGATCATACTATAAAACGTCCTACTAAAAATGTTGCAATAGGTTTATAGGACGTTTTTTGACGTTTCAACAAGTGTTTTACAATGATCTTTAAATAAAATGTCGTATTAGTTATTTTATAGAAATATTTTGAGAAGTGTCCCGTAAACTCATCTATTTATAGGACACCTATGCTCATATGACATTTTTTCAAGTCGTGTTGTATAATATAACTAATACGATACTTTTTTTAAAAACATCATAGAATTTGTTAAGACGTCCAAAATCATCCTATAAAAATATTGGAACTCTTTTAGATAAGACATTTTTCTAATGTAACTCTTTAAAAGCGTCATAGATTGATGGATTCGTCCATCAAATATCTATCAATATCATTCATATTTTCCAACATATCAAATTGTTGTTGCTGCAAAAAAAATCAATAATTTTCCTTATTAATTAGATTATTTGTCATCATTCTTTGATCGTGAATCTCTTTTGGTAACATATACGTTTAGTTAAAATAAAACAAAATATAATATCAATAAAAAGTATATAAAATTTATACATTATTAATATATATATATATACATAATAACCATATATATATATATATAATTTTATAAAAATTATATATTAGCGGCGGGTTGACGGGTTGGACGGGTTGAGCTAGGCTCAACCCAATTTCAACCCTCCTAATTAGCGGGTTAGCGGTTTGGCGGGTGAGCGGTTTGGCGGGTAGACGGGTTGGGTTTAATTGGGTTGTTAGCGGGTTGGGTTGGGCGGGTTTCGCGGGTTCACGGTTTTTTGTTCACCCCTACCTAAGTTGTAAAGTTTTAAACATTTAAAACTCGAGTAACTGGTTGAAGCATTAACCGATTACTATATACTAATGTGGCGAGTGATTGATGAAATTGGATTGAATAACAAATAATATTGAGTTGGATACCACATAACTCGTCACATGAGCATGGTAACCGGTTTATGTTTCAACCGGTTATTCGGGTACTTAAATGTTTAAAACTTTACATCTTATATACTAAAATGGAAATTTTGAAAATACATAACCAAAAATAAAAATCAAGTTAAAAGTACCCTACATCCAAAAGGGCTATCTTGATTAATCTATACTATCTTATTAAGCAAATTTAACAAAAGTCTTAAAGTCTTAAAATACTAAAGGACCAAAATACCCTTTATACTACCCTTAAGTCACTTTTTCACTTTTTCACCCCCTCCTCTCATCACATACATTCACCCTCTCACAACCATTTTTTTTTAAATTATAATTTTAAATTTACAATTTATACCCCCATAATTAATTAATTAATTTACTTTACGTCATTTACTTTTAAATGTTTCATTTTAAACATTTATCAAATTAACATACATAATCATATATCAATTAAAACATGTTTAAAAAAAATACATTTTTATTTTAACAAGTTAYAMYATTATAATCRTCTCGTTAATACMTTCRAAATGAGTCCAATATTGAATAGTTTTTGACTTAATTATATTATTATATATTATATATATTGTGAAAAAATATTTTTAATATTTACAATTTATACTTTTATAGTTATTTATTTATATATATACTATATATTTTGGGGTTAGGCTGTCCAAATTGCACTGTATAATATGTTCTGAATTAATATGTTCTTGGGTTTTTTGAAATATATATATACATGTATTAATTCAACCTTAATTTGAGTTTTTGGACAAAAAAGATGGTAAGCAGTTGAAATTTCATTCTAAAACCTATTTTTTTGGTCTTTTTATGGCTTATGATCTGTCAAATTTGTAGTTTTCTTTATTGGTTTTGAGTGTTTATCTTAAAACTCAAGTTTCTTGGTTCTTTGTTGTTGGTGTAAATGGAACACATTTGTTGAGTCATTTAAATATGTTGGATTTTAAATATATTGGATTTTAAACTGTCATACAATTTTTTTCATCGATAGTCTATAATTGGAACCATAACTCTTATTTATTCAAATTATATTAATATGTAAAGACCAAGTGTAACCTATATCATCGTTAAATCTTATCTTATAAAATCAGTAGAACTTCAAAATCGTTAAAATTCATGGCTCCCGCCGCATTACGTGAGTACACAACTAGTTTCCTTTAAGCACTACTTTTGTACAACTTACAAAGCACAATAAATGCTATGAAGCTTAAAGCACTTGCACATGCTAACATCCAATAATATTTATCCAATCTGGCTTCCTTCATATCATCACAAAGCCACTTTCCTTTTCCCTCTTTCGAACCTGTAAATCTCTCCACCAAAAACACCATTAAAGCACTCACAAAGCTTCCAACTCCAAACACACTTGTACACATCGCGATTCCCATCGTCCTCATCCCTGCCGGAACCTCGCCGTAGAAAAACTCCTGCATTCCGACCACCGTGAAAATATCCGWGATCCCTAACAGAATATACTGCGGCAACAAACAGAAGATACTCAACCGTCCAGATCTAGATCTCGTTGATTCAAGCCTCTTCGATTCCACCGTCGCTGCAAATACCATTGCGATGACGGAAAGGAACATTCCGATTCCGATCCTTTGCATCGTTGTGATTCCTTTCTCGTTGCGTAAGATGAAACGAGTGAAAGGAATGAAGATGGAGTCGTAGAATGGCATCAGGAGGATTATCGAGATCGTGATTGCGCTTTGGAGAGTCGCCGGAGGAATGTTGTAGCTTTTTCCGATGTTTCGTTTCATTGTTACTCCTTGTTTTATGAAAAATGTTGCTGGTTGTTGGAAAACTACTGCAAACATGAGTAATGTTGTCCAGATCGGTAGCAATCGGACGACGACTTCCATGATTCTGAGCCGTTGATTGTTGTTTTCCGATGAACACTCGCTTTTGACGTCGTCTTTTAAACAGAGTGGGTTTTCTTCGAGCCTGGAAGATCACAACACAACCATAAGCAGTGTTTCAGTAATTCATCGAGCTGATTGAAGCTCAAGCTTCACGGTGTTAAACCAAAATCAAATTTGAATTTGATAGTTCGATAAATTTTGTGCTAAAGTTATGCTTCGAAGTCGAATAACTCGATTTGAGTGCACTTATGCTCGACAAACTCGCTGATAAGCTGAAAAACTATCTGTTTATTGCTAAATGTACACCTGACTATCTGTTTATTTATCTGAACTTCGATTGAAAAAATAAACACCAAAATCACTGACATAAAAGCACGTATGTATGACGAAAAATCGCGATAAAAATTTGAGTTGGAGTTTTTTCAAACCAAATTCTCATAAGGGTAAAAGTGTCACCGACTTATTGTAATGCTTTAGATGCAAAAGGTACAAGCTTGTTGGATGGGAAAAAGGAATCACCCGTGTATTTTATCCGAGAACCTAAATGGTGAGAAGGGTATTTTAGTCATTTTGCAAAAAGAGCACTCGTTGATGCATAAGGTACAATCGACATAGCCCACTTACTCTATGTCCACAATATGTGGCTTTTCATCCGATTTCGAACAAACGACTTTCAACATCGAGCATTTGATGGCTTTGACTATATTTCTGAAGGAGGTAACGTTTATCTCGACGCTTTTGTCTTGGTTGTATGAACAAATCTGACCGCCACACCAGAATAAGATCATGGACATAACCATGATCATGGCGGGCACCGTGAAACCAATACCCCACCCGGCCAAATCTTGTATGTTTGGCATAATCGAAACGCCTAAAAGGCTACCACTGCATATGCCAAAGTACCACCATTGGAAGAACCGACTCTTGTTGTCTGGATCCTGATCATTTTTTACTGTCAGCAATTCGTCATGAGGTTTGAACAAATTAGCTCCGAATGCTTGCAATGATGGACCATACCCGCCTTGGCCTAGTGAAATTAAGTATAATGATGAGAATAGCGATGATGAAGAAGGTTTTCGTTTATTGAATGTCGTTGAAATCAAAGCCAAAATCCCCTATATATATGAAAATCAGAAGTCAAGAAATCAGATCGCCTAACCTTTAAGATAAAACGATTTGACTCACTAGGAGATACACGAAAGAGGATGCTATGATGGTCGAGTAGTGATCCCAGTAAGAATCCACCAACGGTGCCACCACTAGCGGCAACATCGATGTAAAACCATACCAACTGTTAACGGTTTTGGCCGCAGACGAATTACTCATCTTCATCACATCCGTCAGATACATCACCAGATTGGACGCTATCCCCTTGAACACGAACCTCTCCATCCCAGCCACCACTATCAGAAGAACCCATGATCTATTGAGTGCCATGTCTCTTTAATTTCAGAATATCAGATCATACTGAAATAATACAAGAAACCAGATAGCTATAAAAATGAAAGATTAAACATAAGTTTCGTGCAAACAATCCAATTGATTCGCATCGATCGCTGTAGTTTTGGTTTAAAATTTGTCAAAATTAGAAATAGAAATAATTCGGATCGACAAATCGCGATGCGACATTTGGAATTGGTGGCTAAATTAGATGAAAAATGGAGGGGTTTTTTTGGTATTTTCTCCGAATCGATGGTGTGGTCAGGGTGGTGATGCATTTCAAGATTCCATAAAACGTTGTCGTTTTGAGTTTATTAAGCCAAAACTTTGCCAAATATTGGTTTAAGTATAAAACATGGAAACTTTCCATTTTTAGTGTACCAAATTCAATATTATTAAAAGATGAAAATTATTGAATTTTTAGAATGATTTAAAAATTAAAAAAAGTACGCCTCATCAACATGGTAATCTATTAATGCTTCAATCGGTTATTCGGATACTTAAATGTTTAAAATTTTACATCTTAAATATCATAATAAAAGTTTTGAAAGTACGTTACTTAAAATAGGAATCAAACTAAAGTACGTTACTTTTTCATGTTGCCTAAATTAAAAATATTTAAATTAAAAAAACAATGTCAAGCAAATTATTCTGAAAAATAAGAATTTTATAATTTTTAATTTAATATCTATATTTCTTTGGGGTTTTTCAAATTAGAAAAAATTATTTAACAGTAATTTATAATTTTTATTTTGTTCGAATATAAATATAAATTTTTATTTATGTTAAAAAAATTATATTAATAATTTAGAATAAATTATAATTTTCATCCTTATAGTTTAAAAATTACAATTTTAGTCCATATAATTTACAATTTATTACTATTTTCATCTCTAGATTAATTCCTACCGTTAACTTAAGTATAACGGGAACCGTCAGTCCGATTCCCATCGGTGCCGGTGGGTTGCAATCGATACAAATAAAACAACGACCTTATCCAGTGGGCCGGCTCCGATGATTTGGGCCCATTTTATTATGGGCTTGGACTTATAAATTCTAAAGCCTTTTGTGTTAGCCGGCTTAATTAAGAAAAGTGGAGGGAATCATTCCATTGCACGATACCGCTTTATTCCTCCGGGGATCTCGATTTCCGTCAACAATTCACTCGTCGGCCGATTATCTCCGACGACTTACTTCACTTCAACTTCACTCGCCGTCTTTAGGAGTTCGATTTCGTCTGTATCATATAAGGAAATTGTAATTAGGTTTGTGTAAGAACATGAAGAACTCGGAGGAGAAGGTGGTTGCCGTGATCATGGTCGGCGGTCCGACTAAAGGTTTGAAATTCGTTTTGTAGGTTTATTTGTTTATGATATTGCTGGATTTTTGATCAATTTTTTGGAATTTGTTTCATGTAATTGGAATTGGTCAGGTACTCGATTTCGGCCGCTTTCGTTTAATACTCCGAAACCTCTCTTTCCTCTTGCGGGTCAGCCGATGGTTCATCATCCTATTTCTGCTTGTAAATCGGTATTCATAGTTCATTGTGTTAACACTGTTTTTAGTTTCCTACATAGGTAGAGCTTGCATTCTGAATTTTGCGAAGATTTATGTGTATTCTGTATCCCTAATTTGGAGTTGATGATGCTACTTTTATGCAATGTAGATCCCTAATTTGGCACAAATATTCCTTATCGGATTCCACGAGGAGAGGGAATTTGCATTATATGTCTCATCAATTTCCAGTGAACTCAAAATCCCAGTCAGGTGATTAACTGATTGTCTTAACATTTTGGGAAATTGTCTAAAATAGCGGAACAGGCTTCCGCTCTTCACTTTTGTAGCTACCTCTTTAACAAATTGACTGAAATAGGCGGAGATTATGCAAGTGGCAGTTAAGCAACTTGTGTACTCCACTTTTTCGAATAATATATTCTGGAAATTAGACATTGCGCCAGAGTTTAATCCACATAGACATTACGCAACTTGCATAATATCTAATTTTTCTGATTATTTTATTGGAAAAAGTGAGTTATGCAGGTTGCTTAAGCTCTACTTGTGTAATCTCCGGCTACTTTCTTCACAATGTTGGAGAAGTGGCTATAAAGGCCTGATTGGCTATTTGGACGATCTCCTATTTCATTGTCATTGTTTGTTTTTTTGAATCAAAGATATTTTAATCCATAGTTGATATTTTGCTACATCTTTGTTCAGATACTTAAAAGAAGACAAACCTCATGGTTCAGCAGGTGGTCTTTATTACTTTAAAGATCTCATTATGGAAGATAATCCGGTATTAGAGTTGTCCTAGTCACTAACATTTGTTTACTTATTTTGGTTTTTATTTCTTTTTGATGATCATGACAATGTGTGATGAATGTTTTACTTGTGTATTCATGTTTCTGATACGTGTTCTATGGTCTGCTGCAGTCTCATATCTTTTTGTTAAACTGTGATGTCTGCTGTAGCTTTCCTCTACCAGAAATGCTCGGTTAGACGCCATTTCATATAATTTTTTTAAATGGCAAAATGCAACAAAGTTTGGTTTAGATCCTATTTAGTGTAACGAATAACTTTATTTCTTCATTGATGTAACAAAGATTCAAAATTTTCTATTTTGTACCCATTTTGACTAATCTTGTAACATATGATGACGCTTTTACGAAAAGTTTAGGAAAGAGTTACAGCAAAGTGGGCGATAAATTTGACTTCCACGTCATCAAATGTTACAAATCAGCAGGTTACAAGTCAAATGGGTAAAAAAATAGGAAATTTTGAAACTTTGTTACATTGGTAAAGAAATATTTGTTACACTAATAGAAACCAGGACAAAATTTGTTGCATTTTGCTTTTAATGAATGATAGTATTATGGCCTAATGATATGTCACATGGGTCCTTCAACGATGTAACTGTGTGTTCTCTTGTAGTTGCCCATAGAAGGTATGGTGGGATGGGGACATTATTAGTTATAAAGGTGAGCTTTAAGCAGTACATTTTCTACTCTGTTTCCGGATAAAAATGCCAAATTTAAGACTGAAGTTGGCTGTGGTAATACTTATGTGAGCAGGTTTCAGCTGAGGCTGCTAGCGAGTTTGGCGAGTTAGTTGCTGACCCAATTACCAATGAACTTTTGCATTACACAGAGAAACCAGAGACTTTCGTAAGAATATTTCTTTTGAAGTATATAATATTTATATATGGCAAATACCCACGCACACTCCTCGCCTTTTAGTGAGGTTTAAACTCTTAATCTCCTGCGAGGCTGGGGTCTGCACGTATAGGGACAGATCTACATGGAATGATACGGTATTACAGTGGCACGGGTAACCGCTTCATGGTGCCACCACATTGTTTTCTTAGGTGCCACCATATAGTTTTTGAAACTGAATGTTAGCATAAGACTTTAATGTCTAAGATGGTAAATACCCCCTGCCTATGTACAAAAGGCCCAGGTTCGAGTCCCACAATTGCCTAAGATGGTAAAGCATAGTTTTTGGTGTTTCTTTTGTATACCTCTTTGTGTTTTTAAAATTATATGTAGACCAGATTGAAACATGGGTCTCCTTTATGTAAGGACAAGGAACCAACCAGCAGATCTATACTAATATTGTGAAAAAAAGTAGATACTTTTTGAAGTCAAATTGTGCCACCACTTGAAATTTTTTCTGGGTCTGCCTTTGTACAATTCCCCTTTGATCCTAAGAATATCCTCGTAGGAAGTAGTTACTGTTAAGCAGCTCTGGTTACTTGTGAATTTCCTCAGTTGATTAGCCGCTTGTCAGGTTCATTGTAGTCGCGTCTATGTTGGATTTTCTTATAGTTCTTATCTTGGATTGCAGGTGAGTGATTTGATAAATTGTGGTGTTTACATTTTCACCCCAGAAATATTTAATGTTATTGAGGATATACATACACACTACGAAGACAGAGGTTAGTTGTTTTTTACTCACTACGCTTTTTTAGTAAGACGGACATTAGCTCAAAGGAAAGGTGGTTCAGGGCTTATATATTAATCAAGGACATTTGTGGTATGACCAAAGAGTCATTGGCCGGGTTGTTCCTGGGTTACCGATGGATCCCAGCCCAGCTTCCCAGGAGGTCACGGGTTCAAAAACTCACCAAAGGTGAGTGTGCATGAAAATTTGTCGTACATAAATATTATTATCTTTAATAAACATTTGCGGTATGACTGCGACTTCATTTAGAACTGCAAGCCTTTCAAGTTTAAATAAAATCTTTGTAGTACCTTAGCAAAGATGAATTTTTTTTGCAGCGTCAAGTTACGAAAAGAGAACATCTGAGACTAGTATGTTTCGGAAACAGCAATAGTCTAAATAATAGCAAAAACAAATTCCCTGCTAGCCCCAGCCACTGAGTGAGCCAAAATCCCCCCGCAAATTGGTGTCCTTGGAGGCGGATTCCGTGTGGGGCCGGTTGGGGTTGCCGGTAATCAACTCTTTGCCCAAATAAAAGCGAAATTGCTTGAGACATTTAGACGAATATGGTAGAGTGAATCAGGACATCTTTTTTAAGTATATAATATTATATTCGGCAAATGAAACTCACACACTCCTTGCCTCTTCTGAGGTTGGAACCTTGACCTCTGGGAATGTCGGGTTATCAGATACCGCTCCGCTAATGACCCTTTTAACTAAGAAATATTTCCATTCCCCTTTATATTTTCATTTAAACCTTTTATTTTTCTTTCTGAACATTTTCCAATTGCAGCTAATCTGCACACTTTATCCAGCTCTGAGGCCCTTTGGTCGGCAACAAAGTAAGATCTCACGGTTATTGTTTCTTATCCTTTTTCCGAATAGAAATGTGGTGGTAGAAGCTTCGAAATTGAATTTTTTCAAGTAGGGTATTGCATGCCCTTTTCAATTCTACACCGATTTAATTTCTTTTTAACAGGACGCCTGCTAAGGATTTCGTTAGACTGGATCAAGATATTTTGTCACCTCTTGCTGGAAAGAAGCAACTATACACTTATGAGACGATGGATTTCTGGGAACAGATCAAAACTCCAGCGTATGCCGATTTTTGTATTGAAACATCATTTTAGGCTTTACATTTTTTTGACTGACCGTAAAGTTATCTAGGATGTCTTTGAAATGCTCTGCTCTGTACCTTGCCCAATTCCGACACAAGTCTCCCAATCTCTTGGCTTGCGGTGATGGAACCAAGAACCCGACAGTCGTTGGTGATGTTTATATCCATCCATCAGCAAAAGTACATACAACTGCAAAGGTAAACTATTCGCATATCCTTCTAATTTGACATTTCGTTATTGGAATTATTTGTGGTGTTTGCTCAAAAACTAACATCCCTGAAATGAGTGCATCTCCAACAGATTTCTTATAATTTCTCTAGAATAGATAATCAAAGTTAAAATCTCTAAAAAAGATTACGTTCGTCTCCAACAGTTTTTCCATTTTGGAGATTTCAACATAAAATTATATATAAGTATTCAATAGATTTTATATCTTCAAGAAACTTTCAAATAAATATTATAGGAAATGACAATACATTCAACTACAAAAAGAACATCTCTCTTTTCAAGATTTAAGGGGCTGTTTGGTTAGAGGTATTAACCGATACTTAATGGGATTGAAAATAAAAGGAAATGTTTGGTTTTATATAATATTATGGGTTCATTCCCCCACATTCGAGGTTAACCGGGTGAATGAAAAATTGTCATTCCCCAACCTGGACAAGTCAACCCCTAAGTTTGGAGGGTTCTCTAAAATTGGAGATCTTTTATCCTCTTTGGAGGATATGTTGGAGAAAAAAATAGTTTAAAAACTTCAAAATCTCCATTTTCTCTATTTTCGATGCTACGAGTCTATTTTTGTTTTGTTTTTATTCTGATATTTTATTTTCGGTCATTACCATCGAACAGATTGGTCCAAACGTTTCAATCTCTGCAAATGTTCGAGTTGCTGCAGGCGTAAGGCTCATGAGTTGCATCATCTTAGATGATGCCGAAATACAGGTACATGGATGATCACTAACCATCCCATTGCATCAATATAAACCTAACACCTTTAAGTTGTTTTTCGTCACAAAAAGGAAAATGCATTTGTTATGTACGCAATCGTTGGTTGGAAGTCGTCTTTAGGGAAATGGTCACGTGTTCAGGCAAGTTTTCTGATTCTTTAACTTGCTTTATTTATGTTGTTCCTCGCGTATTACCACTTGTATTGACGATCAAATCATCGAATTTGCTCAGGGTGAAGGAGATTACAAAACAAAACTAGGAATCACCATTCTTGGTATGCACCTTGCTTGATATTTGATTCTAAATTAGTTTCTTTAACGAGATGTTTCGGTATATATAACCTTAAATGAGATTTTAATTAAATTCATGACCTTATGATGAATATGAAACTATTTTTCTTTTAATAGGTTAGGAGGTCCTATATTTAACTAAATTCTCATTTAAGTTTATATATTATTACCTTATAAGAATATGTGGAACCCCCAGACCACTCTCCAAAAGAGCCTTTGAGGAGGAAGGGGAGGTTTCAACATATATACACGAGAAATGGTCCAAGTTAGCCGATGTGGGACTTCAACACGCCCCCTCCAATGGAGGTTAGATGGACATAAATTGTTTTGGGGTGTCAAGAGGGGGCTAGTCAAATTGTCAGGTCCCTAGACTGACAGACTTTGGCTCTGGTATCATGTGAGAATAAGTGGAACTCCCATATCACTATCCAAAAAAGCCCTTGAGGAGGAAGGGGAGGTTTCAGCATATATACACGAGAAATGGTCCAAGTCTAGAACTGTTTCTCGAACACTTTGTTCTCAAAACCTTTTTTTATGAAGGAAAGGAAATGGACGGGGAAAAAACGATGTGTTTCACTTAACTTATTAGGAAGGAAAGGAATATAGGAGGGAAATATTATTTGTATTTCCTCCCAAATGTCAGAAGAACGGGAGGGAAAGAAAATCTGGAAGGAGAATGTGATCTTTTATGTCAAAAATACCCTCATAAAGAAAAGTGAGAAAAACAAATACAAAGGATATATTTGTAAATTAACATTTTCCATTTCCTTTCTCTCAGATTCAAGAACATGAAAAATTATTTTCTTTCTGTTCGTTCTTTTTCAGAACACAAATAAAGAGTTTTTTTTTTCTCTTCCCTTCCTTTCTTTTCATCCCAAATTCGAGCGCATGATGTAAAAAATATGTGTACATTCTACCCTACTGCTTCTGTGTGAGATTTATCGGGTCCGTTTAATTTGGTTTTTTTCTTCCCATTTCATGCTAAAAAGCTCGTGTTCGTTGGTTGTAGGAGAAGCTGTGACGGTTGAGGATGAAGTGGTCGTGGTTAACAGCATTGTTCTTCCAAACAAAATTCTCAATATAAGCGTACAAGAGGAAATCATTCTCTAAAGTCGTCGACTGCTAATTTAGATGCTTGTTTATCTGAATCAACTTGGAACGTTGTCGAAATCATGCGCTTCCTTCCGTTCCAAAAGCGAGGTTCGTGTTTTTACAAGTAAAATTTATTTAATGTTGTTTTCTATTTGTGGGTCGTGTTGTTTTCGGCTAACTTATGGGTTGGCTCATCCAAGTTATCTTGAGTGAGCTTGGTCAATGCTTTCTAAGGCTATGCAATTTTGCAAGAGCTCTTTAGGTTTTAAGTTTAGCTTTTTATTTTATGTTCCAAAGTGTTGTTTTTTTACCTTTAATATTTGTTCATACTCTTCACAACCCGTTGGCTGGTTGTTTCAACAGGTTTTTTCATAATTTCTTTAAAAAAGTCCAAATCTCTAAAAAAAAGTTGCATTCAATTCTAACAGTTTTCTCATTTTAAAGATTCTTATCCTCGTGTGTGTGTGTGTGTATATATATAGGGGTCTAATCAAATGAGAACTGATTAGTTTGTGGTAACTGTGAGGTCCAATCTCAACCACAAATCAACGGATAAATTATGAAATTTATAATTATGGTAGTTTGAGTTAAAATTATATATTTGGGATCATGTGAGACCAAGGATTTTTCGTGAGACCCGAAAAACCAATTCTCAACCCTTGGATTAGATCTACAATCTGAACATTTATAATTACAAAATTGCCATGAGACTTCTCTGTAATCACAAAATTCGTCATCGTGCAACTTTAGACCATTAGATCATTGGCTTATAAAGTTGATCAATAAACATAAATTGGTCTTTCGGAGCTCCAACAATTTCTTTAAAATGGAGATTTTAGGATATTTGATTCAACAGATTTTTTAAAACCTTTTTTCAAAATGGAGAAAGTAGGAGAGAAGGTGAAATACTCTAAACTTGGAGAACTCTTAAAAATGATTATCTATGAAAAACAATTTTTTTTTTAATTCTTGGTATAGAAGAGAAGAAGACTCCGGTGAGACCTTTGGGTCCATAGTAGACCTTCCAACACGTTGGATTTGCCATTTCCTGGTTCGCCACAAAGATGTCAAGTTTTTGTCAGCTAAATTAGTAAGGTTTTTATTCATGGCCAAGTTTGATACTTAAATCAATTAAAGTGGTTTGTTATTTTATTTCAATTTTGGTTTTTTGATCAACTTTGAAAAGTGAATGAAAATAATATGGAGGGAAAATGGGAATGAATTTTCATTTATCAATTTAATATTAAAATTAAAATTTGCACTTCTAAGGAAATGAATCTATTATATTATATAAAAATCAAACAATTTCTTTGAACTTAAAAAAAGTTAGTTAATTTAAAGGGTATTTTGGTTTTTTTATTTTTTTTGTAATTTTACCTTTTAAGTTAACTTATTTTTTAAACTAAAATAAGTAAGAGAGAGCAAAAGTGAAACAAAAATGCCTAATGATAGTAACCAAAATTATAATTAATTTAAAATAAAAACAATCTTGATAACGATTTCCACATGGATCAAAAATGTAACCTACTCTTTACGTTATTTCTAATAAATTCTCTATTTTCAATTTTAAAAAAAATTTGATTAACATAATTTTCTCTCATATTTCAAAAAAGGCACAACTTTTTTTTGGTCTTTTATTTTAGATGAAATTATTAGCGTTATGAAAAGTATAAGAATTTTATTAATTAATTTTCTTGTTCAAATTCATATTTAAAATAAAAAATATCAAACAACAATGGTTTTTTTTTTTGGAAAAAAAAAGAAATTATTAAAATTAGTTATTTTTAGAAAACGTTCATAATTTTTTCATATTTGAGCCAAAATTGTCAAAGATTTTGCAAGCTTTTTTGTTTGTAATTTCAAAGAGTGTACTTTTATTAATAAAATATGATTTTAGGAGATTGCTTATAGAAACAGTGTATTAACTTATTTCAATGTAAGATCGGTAATAAACACTTTTGAGTGTTTGGATAAACAACTTATATCAGTGTCAAACCGGTAATAAGAAATTTTTGAAGAAGTTAAACCATTCTAACTTATATAAATTTGATAAAGACTTTTGTAAAAAAAATATATGTTGTTTCAAATAAGCAATTCCAAACACCCTCTTAATAGGTCATTTCCCAAGCCATTAACTAGATTTTGCAAGCCAAAAAACGTGTCACGGGCTATCACAGCTATTACGCCAATGTCATAAGTCGTTCCCATAAGAATAATATTTAAGTTTATAAAAGATATAATTTATAAGTTATGAAATTGGACGATTAGATAGAAAAAAGAGATGGCTCGAGTAAAGATTTAATCCCAAATAAACACTTTTGTGCAATTTCCCTTAAAAACCAAAATAACGAATTCTTTAGGTCTTGAAAATATAAATTAATTGACCGTAAAATTTAAAAATAATTAGTCATTAAAGGAAATATCTTGTTCATGTCAATTGTAGCCAATACCATCTTGGAGGTACAAGGAAGGGGCATCCATACCTTGTCTAAAAATCACCATGAAACAATTCAAAAATTGAATCGTGAAGTGAAACTAAACCAAACAAACACAATATATCCAGACATTTGTGTCTTTTCTTATTAATCTGGATATTCAACCTGTTATGCGAGCTGACTAATCCTAGCTTTTATGGAAGCTTTAACAATTTATAGCCTGGTTGTAGCATTAACACTTTTATTTGCGAATCCTTTTGTTTAATATTAGAAATATGAATTTTTTGATTTTTCATATTTTATTGCCTTGGACTTGCATGGCGACCATCCGCTTCGAGGGTAGTCCGGAGTCACCGCATTTGAACCTCCATGGCCACAAGGGGATTTTTATTCCTCCTGACATTCGTACCTTAGACTAGTAATCACCCCAAAACGGTTTAAGAATTGAACTGTTAAACCAAACCAAACCAAACCAAACCAGTATTATCTCACATAGAAGTAGCATTCAGAGCTAGGTTGTCAAACCAAAAGCAAAACCTAAAAACATCAAGTCGGATTTCAACGATCATCTGTTTTTTTCCAAACACAAATATGGCTTCAAGAATTTGCAAAGGCTTCTATCTTACAAAGGAAATCTTGAACCAACTGGTTTTTGTTTTACGCCAGAAATAAGTGTCTATTTCGGGTCTGCAAAGAAGGAATTGATGGATGGCATAATCTCCGGATCCTTGTTGCGAACGAATTTCCTTAACGAATGCTCAGCGTACTTTTCGCCTTCAGCAAAGTTATCTAGCACACCGGCAGCTCTATTTTCCTTGTTCACTCTACATGTCCAAACAAAATAAGTACGAAAGCAACTACCCATTTGACAGCCAGGAAGGTAAACCTGGACAGACCCTAAAGGGCCCGAGGATTCGAACGGATAACCAATGGGGAGCAAACTTAAAATCTTCATTAGTTGGGCTGAATTTATCTTTAAATTGGCTTTAAGTTGGTTCATTGCTTAAGGGACCGTTTACCAAACACTTACCAGGTAAGCGCTTACTGGCAAGAGTCACTACCCTCATTTACCTTATACGGTAACATTCTCTGCCATCAAAATAGATGGTTGGTAAGCGTCTCTTACCCGGTAAACGCCAACTCCCTCTCACTTATCAAGTAAACTTCCTATGCTTATTATCAGGTAAGATACTTGATCATTGTCATATTCACAGGGTAAAGTAAGTGATACCCGAAAAAGCTTATCCAATTGACGTTTAGTAAACGGCAATTAAGTGGTGGATTAACATGGAAAAGAGCATGTGGTTATGAAAAATCTAACCAAATCTGAGAGCTTTCACATCAACATGACTTGGAATGTAGATGGGGTTCAAATTAAGCATAGAAGGTCCATTTAGATTGGTCAATAACTTAATATTTGTATGTGTTAACATAAATCAAATGCGGGTTACTTCATGTTAGTGGTTAAGTTATTTAAATTTCAATTATTCCTTTGTACATCTGATCTTTATGTTAATGTTGATTGATTGTTTCAGTCTTTTGATTAATTTAATTTTTTAAGGAGCTCTCTATCAAGGATCACGAGGGTCTTCCGTACTACCGATTTCTGCAAGTAGAATTTTTTTAGTATGAAAGGTACATACGCTAAATTTTGAAGAATCCTCCATAATATTAGAAAATACAAAAAAAAAAAACCAAAAGACTGAAAGAGTCCCTCGAAATCATCTAAAAAACCAAAAAAAGTCCCCCAAAATCAACCACAAACTTACGATTCAATTTGAAAAACAAAATGTATTTCATTCCTCAAATTGACATAATTGACTTTTCTCTAGATCAAATAAGGTTTAACTTTTCACAGAAACAGCTTGCCACTTTGCGGACTTTTGATCCATCTCAAAGGTGCATCCGTTCACGTGTGTGTTTGTGTGTGTAGAACTATACTGTGACTTGTTGAAACTTGAAATTTACTACAACATTATCTTAACTACTCAATTATGTTTTTATTTACTAAAAACATATATCTGCAATTATTAGTTGCTCAGCTTCAGGAGCTCTGTTGTCTCTGTGCTGCATTTAGCTATGGTTTCACAGTGATTTGGAGACAATTTCTCGTTCCTAAACTCATTGATTGAATCAAAAATCTAGAAGAAAGAAAACCATAATCCTCCAAAAGCAAAAACTGATCTTACTAATGGAGCAATCATTAATAAGATCCCCATAGGAACTAAAACAACACATCGCGATTGTTCGAATTAGTTGTCAAAAGTAGAAACACAGCTTACACATAACGCAATAGAGTTAGAGGGAGAAACTACCTGACTTCAGGATTGCTACTGATGTTACGGATCAATTGCATCCCGCAGATTCCGACGGCGACACCAACGGCGGCAAACAGAGGATACACCTGTCAAATTACACAGATCCATCAAGTCGGATTTACAAACACGAATCATCGGTCACGATAATACCGATTTACTCGTTAGATCAATTATACGTACAAAATTAAAGTAGAAAATACACAAAAATTGCGAAAGAATACAGAGAGAGATTGATAGCCACGTACCTCAGGTCTCAACCAACGATTGAGCGTCGATGAACCCATTTTTTCAACTTTTTGAGCAACGCCGGAAAACGGAAAACAAAGTAAACGGGAGGAGAGGAGAGAGACGAAGGTGGTCGCAGAGAACGGAAATGAGGACAAAACAGAGAGACCTAAATACCTAATTCTGACTTGGCAGCTTATATATAACGCTTTCGTGGTCATCCAATGGAGGGTAAAGTACAGTAACATCTCCTTCGGATAAACCCCTACCACCTCCATCTATGAGAGCTTGTCTTTTAGGCCCCTCCAACTGCTATCGTCTAAACCTCCATATAGAGGTGCAAGGGTGCGTTTGATGCAGTAGACATGATATAACATAACATGGATCCTTATTCCACGTTTGGTATGACTTTTATGTGGAACAGACATGAACAATGTAAACAAGTCTATTCCACCCCTTCCCCATTTAAGTTCTCAATCTTGGCAAACAAACAACCCATTTAAACCCTTTTCAACCAATAACCCATTTGAACCATTCAATTTAGCACCTACAAAATGAAGAGAAATGCCAGATCTAGATGCCTAGATAACGTGATTTAATTGGTCATCCGAATTTTTTTTTAACCTGGATATCCAACCCGTTAAGAAAGTCAACTAATCTCAAAACGATCATCTGCTTTGCAGATAGCCTGAAGTCAATGTATTTGAACTTTCATGACCAAAAGGGGATTTTTATTCATCTTTGGATTTGAACCTGGGAACTCCTGACACTTTTGACTTTTGGAGCTCAAGCTCAAACCAATCTGGCACCACCTTTTTGGTTTGGTCATCAAAGATTGTGAATTGGTAAGGGGGAGATTATGAAGGTTTAGAGGGGATAGAAGGAAGTCGAGGAGGGATGAGAGACATGATTTTTCCTAAGGGAGGGGGCCATATATATAAAATTGAAAAGACCAAAATGCTTCTTATTTAACAGACAATTTTTAACGGAGTTAGTGTTAGGGGTTATTCTAAAAAAGAAGTCAAAATATAAGGATGATTTATGAACTTATCAAAAGTTAGGTACCACTTTCAAAATTGTAACAAACCTTGAGGACCAAAATTGAAGTTTACTCCTAAATTTTAATAGATAAACGGAGATGACATCACCACCTACAAGTGGCGGAACTCGTAGGAGGATCGAATCGATCAACAAGAAAAGCAAACAGTATCAGTGGTTGTTGAGAAAGAATCGGAGCGGAACCCTCGAGAACTCCGCCGTACCGGAAAATCATCTCTGATAACCTCCTTTACCGATGGCGGCAGCTTCTCATTCCTTATCAGCACCGTTTTCTGGACTCACCGACCACCGAATCCCCCACCACAAACCACCTTCCTATCCCTGTTCTCACCACCTCTTCATTCGTCCATCGCTTCCCTACCTTTCCAACGCCTCCAATAGCCGTCGTGGTCCTGCTACTTCCGTCATCTGTGGCGTCTCGGACGACTTCGTTTCAACTCAAAACTCTGGCTCCTTCTACCATGAATTCTCCGTCATCGCTAACATGTTGAAGAAAATCGAACCATTGGATACTTCTGTGATATCAAAAGGCGTTTCTGATTTCGCCAAAGACTCGATGAAACAGATGATTTCTACTATGTTAGGGTTGCTCCCATCGGATGAATTCTCCGTCACGGTTAGGGTTTCCAAACGTCCTCTTGTTCGCTTATTGGCCTCTTCATTGATCACAGGGTAAATTTTACAATCCTCCATATATATATATACTTCTTCGATTACACATTCAATTGGGGAGAACTCCAAAATCACATAGATTTGTACTTTCTGTTTCACAAACAAGTAAAAAGGGATCCACATTGTGAATCGAATACATGGGAAATCGTCCCAATTTCTCTTGAGGCCTTGTTACACGTACTAGAACTATAGATCGTTTGAAATGAATAATAAACAATATAAATTAATATCATATTAGAAATCTTACAAATTAAAATAACAGAAATATTTAAGACTCGTTTTTGTTTTATCGAAAGATTCTGAAATTTTTGATTTTGAAACAAATTAAATAGAATTTTTATTCAGATGAACTATATAAATCCGGGCCCTAACACTAGTAAAATTGGACGTTTTTTCAAAAACCAAGATTTAACATGCTACCAGACGGCCCTATGTGAAACAAACACGTTATTAAACAAATATATGTTAATCACTGTATTAAATTCTAGCTATAGATGAAAAAATATTATATGAAATAGCACATGATGCATTGGTTCTCAAAGATTTCACGATTTAGATAGTTCTCAAAAGAAGACCCCATTTAATTAATTCAGTTATTTGGCATGCATCATCAATTGGTGACTCGATTGGTGTTTGCTGTTTAGCTATACATTGTGGAACGCTGAGTACAGGATTTTGTTGATGACGAACTTTGAAACCTCTTCAGTCGACATACGTAAGAGGCTGAATTCAGGTTATTGTGATGATGATGAAGCGGATCAGATCAAGGAGAGTGAGGGACTGTGTGACGATGGTGTCGGGATGGAGAATCAGTCCGAAGAATTAGAGAGATTTAACTTCCAAAATTGTTCAGATGATTTATCTCCCGAGGCTATGAATTACATTCAACAGTTGGAATCAGATCTGTCTACAGCCAAGAAGGTGAGTCACTGTGTGTAAACTATCTGCAAAATTAATTTTCAAATTGCTCAAAAGTTCATAGTTCCATACTTCAATTTTGGTTTTTAAGCTGAAACATGTTCTGGTCTGTTGTTCATATTGGTTTAAGGGGCTATATGGTTGGTTTTCCATTATATTCTGTATGGATAAAGTTATCAGTAAAAACTGAAGAAGTTTTTGTTTGGGAGAGTTTTTTCATAGATGGAATGAGCGTGCTTTTTAATTGGGATTAACAAGTTTGGGAATAACTTGGCTTTCTGCATAAAGCTCCCCTTCGAAGCTTACTGAATAAGCCACTTTTATATCATTATGCCACTATCAAACAGTTTTGTATAGCTGACAGAATAAACTGTGAGTCCCATTAAGCTACGAACAAACAAGCCCTAGGATATCTTATGCGTCCTTTAAACTAAGGATATTATGTACAATTCCTTCGTGACTCAATTCGTCCTTTAAACCGAGATTAGACAGGCGCGGATTTCCCGAAAGTGTTGAGAACTGGCTAGACTAGTGCAGATTTACCATGTGAGAATATGTGGAACCACGTTAGATTTGAGGAGAGAAATTGTCCAAGTCTAGCTGATATAAAACCCTTTTAGAATACTCTCTAAAAGTGTCCTTAGGAAGAGAAGGGAGGTTACATATTGAGTGAGAAATTGTCCGAGTCTAGCCGATGTAAGACTCTAACACCCCCCCCCCCTTCCAACGAAGGTTAGACGAGTACAGATTGCACCAGAGTGTCGAGAGGGGGCTAGGCGAGTACAAATTGCCCGAGAGTATCGAGTCCCTACAGTAATAGACATTGGCTTTGATACCATGTGAGAATATGTGGAATCCCGTTAGATTTAAGCACAAATGGCTCAAATCTTGCCGATGTGGAACTCTAATATCGACTCCATGGATGTGTGCATCATAGAGCTACAATTTGCTGATTGTTTGTTATCCCTTCCTCCCAGGAACTGCATACTCAAAAGCAAAATCAGAAAACTATACAAATCGGATATGCAAGAGGAAGTAACAATGATCTATTGAAGTACTTGAAATCACTCGATTCCGAAATGGTAATCATCATAACTCGATTTTCATACTCTTTATCGTTCTTCCGGATAATGTTGCTCATTTGTAGATTTTATTTCGATAGGTGAATGAACTATCGAAACCTTCATCTTCAGAGGTAAAAGAAGTTCTACAGCAACTTGTATATTGTATATCAAGAAGGGTATTTAAGGAAGACTTCGCCTCGGGGTTAATCGGAGATTCGAAAGTAGTCCAAGAAAACTACCAAAACGATGATGTTAACTTCTCTGAAACGCGGGATTATCTCGTCAAGCTACTTTTCTGGTTCGTATATGTTTTTCGTTATTTATTTCCCCTTTTATTTAACCGCGTGGGTTGTGGCGTGCTTGTTAAGGCTCGGGGGATGTACTTGAATAAATTAATCTTCCCCGGGCTCGAATCCAGGCTCTGCGAAAGCCCTAGTAGGGTTGTTCAAAATTCGGACCAACCCGGCCAACTTAACCCGAGGTAGTCTGACACATAGTTGATACAAAATTAGACCAACCCACATCTATTGGGTTGGAATTGGATTAAAGTCATTTGAACCCAACCCAACTTGATGAACCCGCATCTATTAGCCTTTTTTTTTGCATCTTTTATTTTGATTTTAATTCGTTTAAACACAAAAGGCTTAGCTAGATTGTAAAATAATGTATCAAAGTTTCAAACCGACCAACCATGATTGAGTTAAAAATTTCAAACCGTAAATATTGGATGGGGTTTGATGGATTTTGATCACAACTGTTTTTTTTCCATTTTGACAGGTGTATGCTATTGGGTCATCAATTAAGAGGCTTGGAGAACAAGTTATATCTGAACTGTGCAGTTGGTTTCTTGTGATAATCAGATGGTAAGATAATGCTTATATTATTTATTTATTTTTTACTTTTGAACTTTTCAATTAATCTTTGGTACTTTAGGAATAACTTTTAGAGAACCTTATGGTGTAATTAGAATGTTACTTTTCTTGATCAACAAATCATTATTTGTGTATTTGGTATATGAGACAGGACGGGACCGAACAAAATTTTGTGGTCCTACGTTTGGCGCGAGATTAGACCGAGAGGGAATAAGAACTTACTGTCGAACATTTGGTGCGATGTTAGACTCCGCATATGATACAGGATAAAATTTCTCCCATGTTTGATGCAACATTATAGGTACAGTACAAAAACTTGTTGTCGAACTTTGGCACGACATAAGACTCCGCAGTCCAAGTAACATTAAAGTCCCCGAGCAACAATTCAAAAATTGAACTTTCAACCGGTTACCCGGGTGCTTAACATCTTAGCTAACAAAATTTACATCTTAGCTACCAAGTAAAATTAATCTTCTTGTCGAACTTTCAACCAGGTACTTAAATGTTTAAAACTTTACTTCTTAGCTACTGAAACGAAAGTTTTGGAATTACGTTACCTAAAATATAAATCAAATTAAAATACATTACTTTTTCATCCAATTTACCTATTCCTATATTCAAATTAAAACCCTCAAACTTCTAAAACTCTCTCAGGCCATCCACATACGGCTTTCAAAGCCAATTGCAAAAGCAATTGCAGAAAACTTTAGTTTGCCACATGGATTTCACTTACAATTTTTGCAATTGTCTTTGCAAGCCACATCGACAGTCACATCCGCATCTACATCCCCACTTTTTTCTTTTTTTAATTGTTTAAGTAAACTAAATTTTTATATAACACATATATTTTATGTTTTTTTATTAAATTTAGTTATTCTTGTTTAAAAAATATTTTATGTGTATATATTACTTTTAAAATATAATATAAATACAATCGTTTTAATTAACATTGAATTAAAATAAAACATGTTATTAATTAAAAAATAATTAGAATGTATATATAAATAATTTATAAAATAGTTAATAAATGTTGTAGTGGGAACCACTTTTGAAAGTGTAGGTGAATTATAAGTGTGTAGGTGGTAATTGCAAAAGTTGACGTGACACAGTTGAAAGTGTTGTAGGTGAATTGCAGGTGTGTGAAAGATAATTACAAAAGCTGATGTGGCACAATTAAAAATGTAAATAGATTGTAGGGATGAAGATGGTCTCACCTACCTACGTCAGTCCCATCAGCAAGTACCAGATATAAAGATATCAGGATTTGTTAGTGCTTTTAACTTCTAAGGCTCTCTCACCTACCTACGTCACAGCAAGTACCAGATATAAAGATCACAGGATTTGTTAGTGCTTTTATTTAGTTGGTGTTTGGTTGATTTTGTATTAAGTTTTATATTAATAAAACTAAAATTATCTATATGAATTAATTTATTTGTATAGATTGGAAATTTTTTTTTGTTTTGGAATGTTTTTCATAGAGGTAAAGAACATGTTTTTTAATTGAAAAGGACAAATTTGGAAAAAGAAAACTTGGTTGTTTGCATAAAGGGCATATTTGAAAGAAGAAAGACTTGACTTTCTACGTAAAGCTCATTCTAAAAGCTTACTGAATAAGATATTTTCTATATCATTAACTTACTACCAAATAATTATTTACCGTTAGACTATATAAGTTACGAGTCCGGTTGAGCCACAATATTGCTTTTATTTCTCATATTCATGTATAGATATACAAAAGAATCAAAATAGAAACAACATAATATACAAAAAAGAATGAATCAAATCACAAAAATTAGGCAAAAAAAAAGGTACAAACCCTTTTGCCCTCATCATCTCAACTCTTCTCTAAAGTGTCTAAAGAGATCATAAGGTGCCCATAGATAATCAACTGGACATGGCTTACCTCCATCTAGTCGCACCCATGGCTTCCCCTTCCCGCTCCAATGCAACAAACTGATCGGACCAGGGTGCAGAGACCTGCAACTATGAACCACGTTGTTCCCGCCGAGCCCATGCTGGTTCCATCGATGATCGATAGCCGTGACTTCACCACCAAAAACCAACAAAAATGGCGGAAGTGAACCCAATTCGTAAATCCTTTCCTCCTTTTGAATCTCCATCCATTTCTCAATTCTATTCCTATAATCTCCTTTTCTCCATTTCACCAAATCCATCACCATTACTCCTGTGTTGAAATAACAAGCCTTCTTCCCTTGGAACACTCTAGAATGATCAGGATTGTTCCAGAAGTTATCTGTGAAGTATTTGGTGAAATTTGCGTGACAGTAAACTGGAGCTCCAATGGTGGTTGATTCACTTAGAGAAATAGACCAAAGTTTCTGTATATCATCAACAACGATGATATCAGAATCGAGATAAATCACTCGTGAAACACTTGTATCGATTATGTCAGCTAAGTATATTCTAGCGTAGTTTAATGGATCTTCCAGTGCTTCACGAATCGAATTCGAGATCAGATTCTTAACCAGATTGTCATCGAAACCATAAACGATGAACTCCAGAGATGGAAATATGGTTTTGATGATCGTTTGTAGATCTTCCGGTTTAGGAATCTTCGATTTCGATGCGATGAAATGGAAATAAACGTTTTCTGGACAAGAAGTGTGTTTGAGAATCGAATGAACAGCTGCTATGGAGCCTCTAAAGTATTTGAGATCGAGAGTCATTGCTATATGGATTGTATCTAACTCTCCACATTTTTCGCCATTTCTGTACTCTTCTGCTTCGATATATCCTGAGGTTTTACTCCCATGGAGTTTATTCTTTGGAGCAAAATCGCTTGGTGTTCCAGGAACTGAACGAATCGCATATGTGGAGAGAATAAACAGAGGAACGATCAACAGAAAAGCTACAGATTTGTATGGAAGCATATCACTGAAGCTTCTCCGATCAAAAATGGCGGCCGATATTCTCAGAAACTTCTCCGATCAAAAAGTGTGGCCGAGATTTACAGAACTGTTCCGATCAAAAACGGTGGCCGAGATTCTCAAAAGCTTCTCCGATCAAAAAAGGTGACCGAGGTTAACAGAAGCTTCTCCGATCAAAAATGGTAGTCGAGATTCAGATGAATATGAGTTGTGTAGTGTTTTCTGAGAAAATGGTGGAAGATGACGAGGGTGTATATATGGAGAGAGAGGGACGGAGAAACGCGTTTTTGTTTGGAACGCGGAAGGTGTGTAGTGAAAATGGTGGAAAGTTGGAGGGGTGAAATGGAAAAAGAGGGAACAAAAGGGGTGGAATTTGGAAATAGAAATTCAAAGGTTGGAAGGTTCGAGGAGGGTGGGTGACAATGAATGAATATGTATCATTGACATATGCATGTTATACCACGTGCCTTTTTCTGCTACATTATTTGTTGTTCCGTCTTTTTCTGGGAAATTTCGTCAAATTATCGTATCGTGTAATCAAATTTACCTCCTAACAATTTCTCTTCAAATTTTACCTAAAAATTACGAGGTCAACAATACCGTCTGTAATTATTGTAGATCTACTAAACGACAAAATTGCAAACCATAGGTCCGTAATTATTACGGATCTAGTCCAAAACTTTTTTCCTTGAATCCGTAATACAAGATCAGTAAGTGTCCACCTTCATAAAAAAATGGTTTTTGGGTCGGATTCGTAATAGTTGCTGACTGATGGTTATAGACCTTGTCGGAAAACGTTATTTTTTTCCCGTTTAGTGGGTCGGCAATAATTGCAAACATGGATATTACAAACCACGGGCGGATCCAGCCTTTAAGCACGGGGGAAAGACTTCCAGTTAAAAACCAAAAACCTTTGTTGACTATCTTAAATTTTCTACTTTCACCCTCGTTTTACATGGTTTCCCCCAAGTTCCATTCAACGTGCCCCTACCTCATTAATTTCCTGGATCCGTCACTGTTATGGACCTAATGATTTTTGGATAAATCATAGTTTTTTATAAGCAAAAATTCCAAGTTTTTAAGATATTATTATTAAAGAGTTTTTTTTAATAAAAACCTAACATTCTAGGGCGGCCACCTGCTTTGCAGGTAGACAAGAGTCACCGTATTTGAACCTATGTGGCCACAAGGAAATTTTTATTTCTCCTTGGGTTTGAACCTGAATTTAAACCACTAATTGTATCTTCTACTGTTATATCTTTTAAAACAGAAATTGAATTAAAGTACATATTTTATATAAGGTATCCTCTAATATATATAATTTCGAAATAATTATCAACTGACATTTTATCCATCTTCAATATAATATTGTTGTGTTTGTCAGCAGTGTAATAAGCTTAACAGAACTCACAACTTATTTGATCAGCTATAAATGATTGTTTGATAATGACTTAATGATATCATAAATCTGCTTATTCAGTAAACTTTTTAAGTCAGAAAGTCAATTTGTTTCTAATAATAATTCTTTATTATGAGTTAAACACTTAAAAAAAATGTATCTTCATAAATAGTATCATTAAAAATTAAAATTAATAATAATATTATTAATATTTAATTAATAATATTATAATTAATGCTATTGGTATCAAGCATTTATTCTCTGATTTTCAAATATGAATTAATAAGACGAGGGTGGTTCCACTTTTCATTAGTTTTTATGCATTTTAATATTTAAATAATGAATAAAAAAATTTAAATTAATTTAAATATATTAAATAATGAATATAAAAATGTAAAATAATTTTAGGAAAACTACGTTCAATGGATCTAATTCAAGCTTACCTTATTTTACCAATCACGCTTCATGGTTACTTGCATTTTAAATTGACTTTTCCAACATATTATTTATTATTATTATTATTATTATTATTATTATTATTATTATTATTATTATTATTATTATTATATTTTTGTTTTGTCAGATAGGTTCACACAAACTATGAGTTGACATATTTAGAGGGTGTTTGGGATTGCTTATTTTAGGTGTTCTTTAACTTATTTCAGTCTGACATCGATGATAAACTAAATGCTAGTATTTGGATGAGAAAAAATAAAACTGTTTATACCAGTGCCAAACCGATAATAAGCAGTTTTTGATAAGTTAATATTTTCTAACTTATGAAAAACTGTTTATTACCAGTTTACCATTTTAACAATATTTTATTAATGTTTGTTAATTATTAATCTTATTGATATAAATTATTAATCTTATTGATATAGATTTTTGTCAAAAATATTATTATAAATGATAAAAAATAAATTTTTACATGTTAAAAAATCAAATAAGTTAATAAGCAATCTCAAACACTCCCGTAAGTCAATAACATGGAAGACTGTCTTTTATGATCATTTTACATATATAAACAAAATTTGTCAAACACTAAAAAACAACTTATCAGCTTATTGTTTTTTGGTACCGCTATAAGCTAATCCAAACACTTTTTATAAAACTTTGGTTTGATACCACATAAGTTAATAAGCACTTTTACAACAACAAAAAACATAAGTTGTTTTAAATAAGCAATCCCAAACACCCCCTTAAGGTTGATGCTAATATTTTAGAGCATTTCAACAGATTTTTTAAAATTTTTATAAAAATATAATATAAAATTAAAGTTAAAATCTCTAAAAAAAATTATATTCATCTTTAACAGGTTTTTAATTTTACAGAATCTATTTTTAAAAATATTTATTTTTAAAGTTTTATATTGGTGCTTTCACTTGTCAATCATTTTTAGGGTGATCTCTATATTTGGAGAAAAAACTCTTATCTCTTCTACTTTATCTGTGTTGGAAAAGCTGTTGGAGTAAAATATTGGCTCAGAATCTTCATTTTCCCAATTTTGGAGAAGCTTTTGGAGATGCTTTAAGAGTGTTCATCGGTTGAAATTTAATAAATTTAGGTTGATCCAAATTGGATGTTGAAATTTTGGATCCGATCCAATTACAATTAAATATCCGATTATGATTAGCCGGTTTAAATTGAATCGGTTCACTTCTTGCACACCCTTATGTGCACTATATTTAATGTCAAAATCAGGTTAAATCATGCATTGAGAATGTAAAAAGTAAGTATATACATTTTTGAAAGTAGACACTTATTTTGTCAGATAAATTCATCTTTACCTACTAATTTTCTCATCACATATGTCAACGTCAAAAACTTAATTTTTACATTCTCAATACATGATTTAACGCATGAAAGGAGGTGCATATAACATCACTTCTATTTTTACCCATTAAAAATAAACGTGAATAATCATGTGAGAAGAAGGGTTAAGGTGAGAAGCTTAAAAAGAAATTTAGACCGTTAATCATCTTTAATCTCAAACTCACCCTTGAATCACGTCGGAAATTGATCTGATGTATCTCATCTTGGTGCATGAGATCCATTCTTACGCTTCTCACTTTAATTATCTTTCTCATCAAAACCTAACCCGAAAACAAATATATCATAAGTCAAAATATTTGTAAGAAAAATGAGTAAGAACCTTACAAATCTGGTGTCAACCAATGCGATACGAGAAAATGCTAGAAGACCTTTCTTACATTAAGGTTTTTTTTTTAAATGTTATTTAAAAAAATTAAGTAAAATCACAAATTTGCCCTTTTAATTATATGAAAATTACAGATTTGAGAAGTGCACATGTGAGAACTGCTGGTGGCCAGGGCAAAGGAATATTTTTTGTTTTTTTATATTGTGGCATGTGTTTAATTTTAATATCCAAAAATATTTAACATTTCAAAGAATATTTTTGGGGAAAAAATAAAAAAAAATATATTATTTATTTTTGAAAAAAGAGATGGAATCATTTGGAAAATTTTATTCGAAATATGTTAAAGAATGTTCTTAACGGAGTTCTTAAATGATTAAGACCGTATTTTTGGAAAAGGATATGGAATCATTTGGAAAACTTTATTCAGTTCAAACTTTTGGAGGATGGAACTGGGACGGATTGGTCCGGTCTCAAGACCGACTGGCTAACTGGTTTACCCACGTATAATATACCTGACTGAAAAGGTTTTGAATAAAGACGTTTTTCGTATTATGACTTTTTAGGTCGTAATTTAATCAGGAGTCGTTTAGAAAAACAACACGTAATAAAACACGTATAGATATGACCAAAAAGGCAATGCTTTCAAATGAATAATTGGAAATGTCAAAGATAGAGACGTTTCAAATTTGATGATTCAAAATAATATTTGGTCAAAGAAGCTTGGAACATTCGTATTCATAATGAATAATGAAAGCTCATATCGACATGAACATATTCTTAAGGGATGTTTGATAGTTACTGAATAGTTTGATGCAGAATGATTAAGTGGTCAGAATGATTAAGAGACTCTTATAATATAGTGTAAAATGAAATATAAGTTTTTTGGTAATTATTCAGAATGAAATTAGGGTGCTGAATGGTTAAGGGAGACCCAAGATACAAAATCATTCAGAGAGTTTTGAAACCATTAAAAAGCTTTTTTTTTTGTCAAACAAGATTCACCTTTTAACGATTCAAATGCTTTCTCTTAATGAAATTGTTAAGAAGTAAACAAACAACCACTTAGATACAAAATAAATGCATTTTAAAGTTTGTTTCAACGCTACATTTCAAAAATCAAAAGAACAAATTGAATGAAAAATCAACGTTTATTTAACTTTATTCTTATTTTAAGTAACGTACTTTCAGAACTTTCATTTTGATACCTAAGATATAAAGTTTTAAACATTTAAATATCCGAGTAACTGGTTAATGCATTATCATGCTAATGTGATGAGTGATGTAGCATCCAACTCAGTATTATTAGCTCTAACGTTGTTAGTGACATGAATTTTTTAATCTAAAATTAGTCTTCAACCGGTTACCCGGACACTTAAATTTTTAAAACTTTACATCTTAAGTACAAAAAATAGAAGTTTTAAAAATACATTACACAAAATAAAAATCAAATTAAAGTACGTTATTTTTTTTCATACAATTTGCCAAAATCAAAATTAAGAAACCATTAATAACATAAAAAATATATGGAAAAGATATTTATGTGTCAAGTCTAAGGAGAGGATTTGGGAGCAGCACAAAGTGCATTTATAAGTAACAAAATTTTCTTCATTATGAATAAACAAAAAAAGGGGTTCCGGGAAGGGCCGGAAAACACGTCACCATCAAACCTGTATATACGTAAGAATATACAGAACAATACAGAATGCATCAAAAGTTCACGACAGCTTCTCTATGTTGTCGAGAAACCGTTTCTTTACCTTTAAAATAGTAAACTAGCGAACAAAAAAGGCGCTACACGAAGATGTTACAAGAAACGAAAAGGGTGTTCATAAAACAAGTAAATTAGATCGAACCTCTACTTGTAAACATGAAACCTCCGAGCCTATTTACGGAACTCATGGCTCATATCAACAATTTGTTTATATAAAGCTTTTCATAAGACACTTGTTTGTTACATTACGCAGATTCATTTATCTCCTTGCCATCAAACTCGCGACGAGAACCTCGAGTAGCAGTTTTCTAATTTAAGCAACTAAGTTTCTACAAAAAGAAAAAGAGGAAAAACAACATGCTTTTTAGTGGTTTTTGAGGACATGATTCATTAATGAATATTTTTGAGGACATGATTCATTAATGAATATGTAATGGATAATATGTATAATTCATTAATGAAGATGTACCTTGACTAGAGTTTTGCTATCGAGGCGGCTAAGAATCTGTGAAACCGTTCTACGTTTGTGTGGCTAAGGGAAGATGATGATCGGCCTCCCGAGAGCTTTCTTCTTTTTCTTCTTTCGCGGAAGAAGAAATCTTCTGTATCAAGAACATATGAGATCTGCCATCATGCAACTGATTAGAAATCAGATAAATTCGTGTTCAGATTATAGTTGTCAAGATTCATAGTTCATGACTAGTGATTCTATTACTGGGAAAACCGCAAAAAAAAAAAAAAAAAAAAAAAAAACTAAGGAACACTTCGGTAACCATTTATCTGTACGGTATGCAAATGTGCATAACATGCACCCAAGCATAGAAATCAAGAAACAACTTCAATCACTTATATGCACATGTGTATATCGTACAATTGAACGGTTACCAGGGTGTTCATCAGTTTCTCACTTTTTTGAGGGTTTTCCCTGAACCTCCCTCTCCCTCTCTCTCTATACAATATATAATTTTCCGGTTTTAGCGTTTAGGGGGCAGGTTCAAATGCAAACTAAAGTTTCATTGTGAACCAGAGGGATAAAGGAGAGCATGCCACACGTCTAAACATTCACTAGATATTCATCATCAATGGTGTAAAATTCATCATGGATGTAGCAAAATAGATCGAGTTCATTATTCATGAAAAGTGGGAACAAATGAGGACATCTGTCATGCTTTCCTTTATCTCCCAGTTCACAAAGAAAAACAGGTTTGCAACTGAACTTTGACTTTCCTCTCTATTGACAAAATACAATTAAGCAAAATGACAAATTTACCATTAATGATAGAGTAAGTGATGAATTTCTCTGTATCATAATTAAGGGATAGAATTGGAAAGTATAGAGTATAGTTTATATGTACCTTTGATGAGCTGCAAGACATTTTATACTCCAAGCCGTTGACCACATGAGCACCATCCATGGCAAGCGATTGAGCAGATGATTCATCGAGCCCCGAGTATTTGCGTTTACTTCTGCACATACGTTCAAATTGGCATATCACAATTTCAAGTTAATTTAGAAATGATCAAACATCCCGTCACTAGAACTCAAGACTAGTTGTTTATCACTTCAGAGGGAAGCAGCCTCTAGGTCCCCTGTGCATTTGGTACCCTTTTTCATTTATTTAATAAATAACATAATTATCTTAAATGATTGGCTCATATTGGATTTCACGGTTATCACAAATTACTGAGTTCTCAATTGATTAAACCCCTATATATATAGACTTGGGATCATGCAAGACCAGGTTGTTTTCATGAGAACCATGGACCACATAAATAACCCTGAAACTTCACAGCAAAACGCTGTAAATGTGTTTTAAACCTTCACAGCGTTTTTGCTGTGAAGGTTCAGTGTTTTCGTACCTTCATAATGTTTCCTTTAACAGATTTACTAATAGTCTCATTCAAATTACCGACATTGAGGTGCCAAACCTTCCTGTCGATTTGAGCTCTGGACTGTTGGCGCCAGTCTTACATTTTGTCTCTATGGACAGAGAGTTACGGGGCTATTTTGCAGAGTTCCTTAGAGAGAGTTGTCTCGCGCCCCTAGGCGATTATTTCTAGTAAGGAATGAGTCAAAGCTTTGGTTATCATAAAAGATAAGACTGTAAAGAAATAGATTGGCTCCAATACATGGGACAACAAACATCCATCTCGTTTGTATTTTGGATACCCGTATAACCATCGAAGGCTATCGAAGTGACTAATTCCTCGAATACCGCCATAGGGAAAGGCCCTTCCCTTTTGGGCCGGTTGCCTAAGTGCTGCATATATGTTTCCTCAAGTCATTTTGGTTAGAAGTTTCAGTGTTGTTTTGTGGTCTCATGGGTGTCACAAAATAGGCTGGTCTCATGGGTGTCACAAAATAGGCTGGTCTCACGTGAACCCAACCCTATATATATATATATATATATATATATATATAGGAATTCTCTTGTTAAGACCCTTATGAATCGATTAAAACCCCAGATTCATACTAAAACCACGATGATTCAATAAAAATACTAAGTTAAGCCCAAAGATTCCCTGAGTAAGAACCATCGGATCATCACTTATTCAACGAATAGATAATGACCAAAAATCCAAAGAAAGATTTGTCTTGAGTCAAAATAAGCATAAACAGGCATTTGAAAGAAGAAAGAATTTCTATTTATATTTCTAAATTCTAATTCTATATATATATAGAGAGAGAATTTCTATATATATATATATATATAGAGAGAGAGAGAGAGAGAGGGGTGGGGAGGTTCAGGGAAAAACCCCCAAAAAATGAAAAAATGAGGAACACCCAGGGTTCCTCAGTTTTTCATTTTTTTTGCGGTTTTCCCCTGAAACTGACTCTATATATAATAACACAATGCAAATGAAGATAAGTTTGTGGATAGTAGGCGGAAGAACTTGATATTTAGTTTTGTTACCTCTGCATCATAATGCCAGCCTCCTTTTTTGCAGTCACAACTGAAAGAAAATCTTTGTCAAGATAAGCTGCAAAATTAGGATCTACAGAAACTGCAACCACTTCCGGCTTTTCAATCCCATCATCCATCAGCTGGATGGTTAAACGAGAAGGCCCAGATGACTGCAAACGTAAAAAAAATTAAAAAAACAACTCGGTTCCAAAATACGCGAATTAAAAGAAGAGAACCTACGCATTGAAATCTGTATATGTTCTCATCATGAAGGACAACGTGTGCATTTTCGTAGTAAACAGAGTCAACAAATTTCTCAGGTTTCCGAGATCTTTCATATTCATATAGCTGCAAAAGTTTGCCATCCATCTCATCACCTACAACGTTTTGAAGCTGCATCCAGAAAGGAGTAATTAAAACCTTTACCCAAACCATCGTTCTAAATCGCGTGAGGTGTGGCAGCGAGACTGTATCATATATAATTATATAATGCACAAATATTTTTTATACCATTACTCAACAATAAAAATCATATGGGATACGTTTAGTATCTAGACAGACAGGATAGGATAGAACATGGCAGGACAGAAACTGTTCAACGTTTGCGGTTTGGTAAGACATAACTGAATAGGACAGAACAGATAAAATGACCCATTTACCCCTAATGAGGTGTTTATATCTTTTGATTAATTTATGTAATTTATTCAGATTATAATAAAATAAATATTTTTTATAACAAAATATATCATTAGAAGGTTTTCGTCAAGACGATTAAAATGACACCAAAATAAAAAGTTCATGTAGTTTCCAATTTTTTATACCTTTTCTATATAATATTTTGTTATTATTAATACTTAATAAATTGACCAAAAATGTAAGAACCATATTAAATTAATATTTTTAGAACAGTAAAATGAAAGTTTAAAGAGCAAAAAATACAATAAATAAAATTTAAAAGAATGAATAAAATGTAAAGAGGGAGCTGTCTTTAGTATTTTAGAAGAGAAGTAGGTTTTATTTTGATATTATATTGGTAAAATATAGGTCTGTTCCACCTTGTTCAATGGGGTGGGGGTGGACCACGCTTGTTCCACTTTGTTCATGTCCGTTCCAAATAAAATCCATGTTCTGTCCTATCATGTCCTGTATACCAAATGCACCCATATTGATATCATATATATATATATGTATATATAGAGAGAGAGAGCGCGCTTACAATGACTAGTATATCAAAAGCCCATAAAAAAAAAGGCAGACTTCGAAAATTAAGAAGTCAAACGTGTTCAAAAATGCCATGACGCACACCATGCCTTAAGACACCAGCCTAGGGGTGTAAATGAATCGAGCTTTTAACGAGCTACTCGAGTTAGGGCTCGTTTATCTCGAGCTCGAGCTTAATAATTATTGACCTCCAATCGATCTCGAACACAAAATAAAGATCGATTAACTTAACAAGTCGAGCTCGATAACACCAATGTTCGACTCGACTCGACTTGTTCAAAAGCTCAATAAAACTTTACGAGCCGAGCCATTCGAGCATACATTTTTTCGAGCCAGGCATATTTATATGTTTACAAATTATATAAATCAAAATATAAAAATCATCGAGCTTGAGTAAATAAATGAAAGAATCGATCTCGAATTTGAGCTCATAAACGAGCATCGAGTTGGAGCTCAAACATGGAAAAAATGTTCGAGCTCATAAACGAGCACCGAGTTGGAGCTCAAACATGGAAAAAATATCCGAGCACATAAACGAGCATCGAGCACGACTTTGAAAAAATTAATCCAGCTCGAGTTCAGCTCGAGCCTGATATTATTTTTTTATGTCGAGCTTGAATAACCTGCTGCTTGATTCCACTCGGCTCATTTACACCGCCACATGAGTTAACATGGTACGAATGATGAAAGAAAGTATGAACAAGTGTCGGCAAATACCTGTTTAACGAGCTTGTAAATCAACTTGTCCAATGTAAATAACACATATGACTGATTACCAAAAATGGCCCGACAATCATCTTCAAATCTTGCATTATCGGACACACCATCAAGCAAATTGTATAGGGAAGTCATAAATCTGCAAAGTATAATGATATCCCGTCAACGATCAGGATTTGATATAACATTTCGATTAAAAAATAAAGAGATGTAACGGAATTACGTGGAGTAAAGATCAGGAGGGCAAGTATCTTTAGCAGTTCTCCGCCTCGCTTCGGCAGATATAGAATTGAGTTTAGCAGATAATAGTCTGTCATATAATACCTGGAAAAAATAGAAATTACAATCCTGTGAAATCGAAGAAGCGCTTAAAAAGCGCGCTAAGAAAGGCTGCTTCCGTCAACGGAAGTAAAAATATTTGTCTCCAAAAGTTGGTACCATTAGGGTGCATTTGGGACAGAATAGGACATAACAGTTGTTTAGTGTTTGTAAGACAGAACTGAATAGGACAAAACAGATAAAATGACCAATTTGCTCCTAATAAGTTGTTTATATATTTCAATTAATTTTTGTAATTTATTAAATTTTAATAAAGTAAATATTTGTATAACAAATCTATCATCAGAAAGTTTTCATCAAGACGACTAAAAGGACACCGAAATAAAAAGTTTATGTAGTTTCCAATTTGTATTTTATACATTATCTATATTTTTTATTAATATTTAATAAATAACATAAATTAATCAAAATATAGAAACCGTATAAAAATAATATTTTGAGTGAAATTTTAAAAAACATAAAATACGATAAATAAAATTTAAAGAATGAATAAAATATAAAGAGGGAGGCATATTTGATGTTTTAGAAGAGAATTAGGTTTTATTTTGTGGTTATATCTGTAAAATATACGTCTATTCCACCTTGTTCCAAGGGTGGAGGTAGAACACGCCTGTTCCACTTTGCCAAACATGGAACAGTGATCCCAGTTATGTTTTGTTATGTCTTGTCCAGTCAAATACTTGTAGTACCCATCAAGAAGATGAGACAAGATTGGTAAATTACCGAACTACCCATGGCAAATTAAAACCCTAAAACCTTCCTTAATTCTTTTACCCGCCTACCTCATTCTCGCTTGCTGTCCCACCCGCATATCAAAAGCACCCATTAAAATAGGTAACTTCGTTGTTTTTTATTCATCAAGACCCGAACAAAAGATGAAGAGAGACTGCATTCTTACCTGGTGAAGCCTAAAAAGCGTATAAAAGGCATCGTTCCCATAGAAAACACGGTAATCTCGTTTTCCACCGGCACTCGATGAAGACGCTACACACTTCGCCAGCGGTTTAGCCGTCCGTAAGAAATGCTCCGATGGTGGCAAGTACATGCCATCTCCGGAAACAAAATTCGCATCCTCTATTCCCTCGGCCTCACCTTCACTTTCCGCTCTATCATCACGATCTCCATCTTCATCACGCTCTTCCCTCGAGCACTCATCGGCAGCAGATTCACTGCCGGAGGCTTCGTCACCGGCCTCGGAAACATTTTCACTGTCCTCATCATCAGCATCAGCTTCGATCTCCCCTCCAACATCCGGGCGTACCTCTTGTCCTCCAAACCTATAATGGGGGTTATTTACCTCATCGAAATCAACGTTAGGTGATAACTCACCCTCTTCTTTCTCAGCCTTAGAGGGCTCGGCAGAATTTTCATTATATCGTTTAACTTTTCCTACTTCGGCAAAAGTTCCGTTTGCCACCGTTACAGATCTCTTGATATCCCCATACTGTAAATAAAATAGATTATATCAAACATTGGAGAGCCTATGTAACGAACGGCGTTGAAAGGGTCAGCTCGATTGTAAATTAAAGTTTTACCTGTGATACGGGAATTTCATCGATATTTGACTTTGCTTCATGACCATTCTCGGTAACGTTACCAGGCCTAGAAGTTGTGTCACGCCCTGAAAATTATTTAAATAATTAGAATCAGTAGTGGCACAAGTAAACCAAACTGTAACATCCCGAGCTAACCGTACCAGATTTCGTCGTTTTGTCCACATACCTGGACTCACGATCTTAAAATGTCTGATAGAGAAGGTATCCGGTCAACCGAGCTCAGCCCAGAAAGCCCAGGCCTAGTAAGCTCGAGCTTAGGTTAATGCCCAAAAAAATTCAAGGCCCAAAAATGCCCGGCCTGAGTCCGGAAGGTGCGCCCCACGCAGAACTAGAGATGCCAAGCTCGTTTTCAGTAAACCAGAAAAAGCCCGCCCGAGTCCGGAAAGTGCGGGCTTTTTCTGGTTTACTGAAAACGAGCTTGGCATCTCTAGTTCTACGTGGGGGGATGTAGGCAGACCTGACCTCTACCCCAAAGAATAGAGCGGATGTTCCATGAGTACCCCCAGCTCATTCAATGATTTACACCAAATCAGATGCAACAGCCAACAAGAATACAAACCCGATAACTCCATGCTAGTTCTGCAAGGAACGATATCAGTTCCAAGACCAGAATCCGTTATTCGCGTAACCATAGCAGATTTTTTAATCTCCGACCCGCTATCCTTAATCCCCACGTTCTTAACCTCTTTCTCTGCTTGAAATCCATCTTCTTTGGCTGAAGTATCTCCATTTACCATAACGTGCTTTCTTGAATGCATTCGATCTGGTGAAATACAATCATCTCCATTGCAGGACGGCTTCGATTGCTTAGTATTCGCAGTACCACCATCAGCACCTGGACTTCCATTGTTATCCGCTGCAGAAGTACCAACATTTTTGATAGAACCACGCGCATCTTCAAATCTACCGGAATTGAACGGCCGAGATGGAACCCCAAGAATTGGTTCCAAGAAAGTCGTCCAAAGACCCAAAACTTTGTTCAGTTGTTCCTTGCTAGTGCAAATCTCTTCACATGAATACCTGATAAGCTTGAATGCATCTTCATGAATGTCGTTATCGGTATACTCAAACTCAAGATTTGGCATAACTGAGTGTCGGCTTCCAGCAGCAATACTATTGAGCACATCATCATCTTTCTGGCTTTTTCCCTTTATTTCTCTGATCTCGGCCACCAAGGCTGTTTATTAAAACAAGAAACAGTCGTTTAGATAAAAAAGAAATAGATCTCCCGTATACTGAAACCAAGCATCTAACTAGAACAGCGTGTGTTTGGTACGTGGGACAGGATGGGTCACGGGACAAAAACATGATTGCTTGGTTTTCCAATAAGTCATGTATGGATAAAGTTGTATGTGTGGATTAATTTGTCTGTATAGACTAGAAAGCTTTTTGTTTAGGAGGGTGTTCTCATAGATGAAAGAAGCGTGTTTTGAATTGGGAAGGGCAGGTTTGGAAAAAACTTGACTTTCTGAATAAGCCCCCTTCTATATCATTCAGCCATTACCAAACAGTCATGTATAGCTGACCGAACAAGCTCTGAGTCTCATTAAGCTCATTACGCTGCTAACAAGCAATCCCTTAGACTGGGATAGAACAAGACTTATTTTTAATCAGGAAGACGGGTAAATTACTAAACTACACACGTCAAAGTAAAACCTTAAAAACTTCCACAATTTTTTCACTTGCCTACCACACTCTCGTCAATCTAATCCTGTCCAGTTTGCATAATAAAACACTAGAACTAGAGCTTCAGACCCATGAATTTAAAAAATCTCAAATTTCGCTTACATTTTGTGCTCAGATTCTTCGAATCTTGTTGCTTGAAATAGAAGCTGCGGTGGTCAAGTGACTTGTAATGGTTCTTTGCATAAATATCAGCCCAAACCTTATTAAGGTCTGCTCGACACTTTGTCCACTCTTCTTGTTTCTGTTTCAGTCGAGTCAACATGACAGGCAATGCAGCTGATGGGTTTCTACGGAGCGTTTCCATGACATCAAGACCATGATCACCGTACAGACGCTCCATGCACCGTAAATTCAGAACTACAAGAATTCATAAAAAAAATCAAGTATCGAAGTTAAATCATAGAACCTCATCAACTATTCAACGTGACTGAAGATAAAAGTTATGGTATGTATTACTCCCTCCGTCCCAAAACAAGTCTCCATCTTTCTATTTCAGTTTGTCCAAGAATAACGTTGTGTTCTTGAATTTGGGAACAAAAGAAATGGAGGGAAAAGAAAGGGAGGGAAAAGAAAAGAATGGAAATAAAATTATTTGTGTTCTTTAAAGGGAAGGAGAAGGAAGAAAGGGAAAAGAAAGAAAATAGTTTTCCATGTTCTTGAACAGAAGAGAAAGGAAGGAAAGATGTCATTTTTACAAATATACTCTTTAAAATATATCATTTATAATGAAAGGTTGGGTAGTTTTGTAAATTTAATTATTTTTAAAATCGTCTTAATTTCTTTCCTTTCCTTCCCTTTCCTCCCATACTTGGAAGGAAAGTTTTGGGAGGAAATTTATCATTATCGTCCTTCCGTTTCCTTTCCTTTCTCTCCTAAAAACGTTTTGAGAACACGAGTTCTTTTACTTTCCTCCCCTTCCCCTCCCTTTCCCTTGCTTTCCTTCGTAAAAATGGTTTTGAGAACATAGCGTAAGTGTCGACTTTCAAAAGCAAGTGCCTACTTTCACATTTGGTTATGAGATGGAGAAATTCATTACTCCCTCTACTATAAAGAGTAAATTTGTCATTTAGTTAATTAAAAAGTGTAGTAACTATGTATGCCTAACATTGTATGTCTTTTTCATTGTGGGCATTTATTTTGGGATGTAGGAGGTAATATCTCCGAGAGCATACCTGTGAAGTGGTCTTCTATACGGATGGGTGTTTCTAGATTGATCGTCTTGTTGTTAATGCCATTCAATAGTTCCTCGACACGTTTAGAGGTTGAACTCACGGACTCCAACAACATATCTAGTTCAAACCTGGTGGGATCATTATATAACAGTATGGATAGTTACTTCAATCAACATACACCACAACTGAAGAAGGATACTGCAACACAAGATCGGGGAAGAAGGCAAAAGAGACTAAGGGGCCATTTACCAAACACTTCCGGTAAGCGCTTACCAAGTCATATTACCTTACCGATGAACATGGTAAAGACCAAGCATCTTACCCGGTAAGAGCGATGGAAAGACAGATAGTCTTACCTGGTAAATGAGAATAATGACTCTTACCCAATTAGCGCTTACCGAGTAAATTGTTGCATATGATGCCGTTTAGATGGGCTAAAATCTTACCCGGTAAGATAAGGAGTGTTGACGGTCACCGGTAAGCGTTTATCGGGTAAGCGTCAGTTAAACGGCCCCTAAAATTCATAAAGTCGGCAACTTGCAACGCACTTTGCACAAGTTTTTACATAATTTTTCCTGTTGAACCATTTTGTAAGGGTGCATTTGGTACACAAGACAGGACGAGATAAAACAAAACAAAAACTTCCTGTCCCACGCTTGGCGCGAAATTAGACTAGGACATGACATGATTGAGTGGGACAAAAGTGTAGTTTTTTGTCCCACCAAAATAGGTGGAACAAAAATCAGGGAACTTCCACAATTCTCTCACCAGCCTACCTTACTACTCTCGCCAGTCCAGTCCTGTACGCGTACCAAACACACCCTAACGTGGGAGGAAAGGGAAGGAAAGGAAAGAAATTATAACCCTTTTTAAAAAATTATTAAAATTACAGAACCGCCCAATCTTTCATTCTAATAGATAAAATTTTATAGGGTATATTAGTAAAAATGACATTTTTCCTTTCCTTTCTCTCCTGATCAAGAACAAGAAAAATCTTTTCCTTTCCTTCCTTTTCCTTCTCTTTCGAGAACACAAATAAAAACATTATTTTCCTTTCCTTTCTTTTCATTCCATTTCTTTTCTTTTCTTTTCTCCCCAAATCTGAACAGAGTGTAAGAAAATGAGATGAAGAAAGTTTACCTGTCATCCTCACATCTGAAGAGGCTCTCTTCATACTGGTTTCTACGCATATGTTTGAAAGAATAATCCTCACTACCAGAAGTAACAGATACCCAGAGATCATTCAGTACTTGAGTACCAAGCTCCGATCTTTGGCTAACCGATGGTATTGGATACTGCAGAAGATCAAATACAAAAAACCCAATGAAATACAGAACAAATTACTAGAAAATAAGAAGAAAAAAAAAAGATAAAACTGCAATAGACTCACATCATCAGGAAGAAGTCTGTAACTGGGAGTACAACGTTGACAATCGGAGAGGTCAAGTTCTTGAATAGATTTCGCCCAATACTTCTCTTTGTACCTGTCCTCTTTGGCAGCATCGATTTCACGCCTATGTTCCCTCTCTTTGTCCTCTGTCCTAGTTGATTTGGATACATGTCCATCATATAATAACGATTCTGCCACAAGTGAAAAAGGCAATGAACAAAATGAAAATTGAGAGACATGAAAGCAGAATCAATTAAATAGATGAAAGGGCAAACAATAAACTAGAAGAACACATACTTTTCTCCATAACACCAGCAAGGAATCCATCTGCAAACCAGATACATTAGTGCCAATCAAGGAATTCTCAGAAAGAAAAAGATAAACTATGGAAGAGTCAAGAAGATAGTTTTACATTTACCTATATTTTCACAGCGCTCCAAAAATGCGCTAAACCCTTCCATAAGATCAGGGTGCTTTCCAAGTAGATCAGAAACCTATAAAAAAGAAGTTCCTAATATTAAAATTCACAATGAGGGTCTGCTCAACGAAAAAATTCAGAAACCAGGTTTGGATTTCATTTGACAGCCATTATTCTCATTAAAATTTTACCCAAGAGAAGAGAGTGATCAAAGAGGGCAATTTGGGTACCAGAATCTATAACCTAGATAAAAATACCTAACCAATTGACATTAATGGAGCTGAAACATGTTACATCAACCAAAGAATAGGTATATGTTTGATAGAGTCCTTAATGAGGCATCTTAATATGTTCAATACAATGAACAAGCATTCTAGATTAAAAGCTTAAATTGCATTATAATACACTAATTCAGAGTAGAGTGGTACATTGTACATCAAGACAAATTTGATTTAGTATAGCTCATGCAATTAAAGTTCTGCTGTTTGACATATCAAATACTACAATAACCCCTAAACAGATCTTCCTTTTTGTTGATCTTTTGACCTACGTTCATAGCTTACAAACGGAGAGAATAGAAATTAGGGAACTTATGTATTAACTCATCTTAGTTAAATCAAAATTAAATTAAATGAAAAGGTGCTTCATAAGTGTATTACAATATTTAATATATCTTGCTCCTTTTCAGCTCTGACACATAAGCAAGTAACAGACATAAATTTTATCACAAAGTTTCTATCGCATAATTTCACAACCATCAGAAAGTGCAAGACATTCATCTTTTTCCCTTATTGTCTCACTGGAGCAAATAGCTCTATGTCACACTATACATTGTGTCTTCCACAATCAATACATATCATAACAGCTTTTTTTTAGATAAAAGAACTGCTTTCTAAGATAAAAATAGAGACAAAACCAATCGGGTGTCAAATATATAGCACAGATTACTGAACATACCAAGCTCTGTAATTCCTTCCTTGTGATTATTGATGTGCTATAGATATGAAGACACTTCAAGAATGCTTGGTAATCATCATGATTACGTAATCTATCCTTCACTTTCTCACAGAAAGTAAATTCTTGGCTATACATACCTGCAATGAATAAATACTAAACTGTCACAATTGTTCTCGAGAAAAATCCTTACTACAGAAGAAGAATCTTCGTAACGATCATTGAAAACAGTAACAGACAAAGTAGCATGAAAAACTAAACAGGACTTCTTATTCATGGAAAACTACAGAATTGAGTAGGGCCTGTTTGCTTACAGCTTACAGAGCTTAACAGTCTGGACTCTGGACCACTTAATCGCTCAGCCATATAGAAGGGTTTCTTTATGGCTTAACCGTTAAGTCATTAAGCCATATAGAAGTGTTTCTTTGTAGAAGTGTTTCTTTATGGCTTAACCGTTAAGTCATTAAGCCAAAATGGCTATATGGAATAAGCCAAAACCCCTCATTTGTCCCCATTAAGCCACCTCAAACAAATTAACGCCAAAAAATGTATCAGAAATGATCCAACCCTCTCTTTTTGCCTCCCTCAAACCCACCAGTCTCTCATCCCTCAATCAGACATACTTATCTAGACAGATAACTTAACGTGGTATGAGACCAACCAAAAAATCCTCAGCCTTCACAACAATGTGTAGAAAGAAAATAATGTTTCTAACCAAAATAAATCAAGCATACACTTATAATTTGAGCAACTAATACACCCAAAGAAAAATGACTCACTTTTTAGGGCATCTTTATCACCATATGGAGCCAAGCCTGAATGGACTCCGAAATCTTCAACCTTGCATGCAGATTTTCGCTTTTCACTACGATGCATGTCCCTATTAGTATCAAGATCAGTCTCTTTGTAATCCTGATCACAATTCCTCCTATCTCTGCTCTCCTTTTCAGATCGCTTTCTCTGCTCCTTCTGAAGTTTCATTGTTTTATCATCCTCATCAATATCACGACGTTCAACACTTAGGTCCTGCTCGGCATGTGAAGCAATGATCCTATCTCGTCGGCCTCGGTGCTAAAGATATCAAGACTTAGTCCCTCGTAGAAAAATATAATCAGAACATGTCAAAAAAACAATCAGCTAGATTACCTTGTCCATTTGAGGCTGTTTGAATGTAGCCATAGCTGAGCTCCGTTCATCGTATCGATGATAGGAATGCCGGCCTAATGAAGCAAGATGTGCAGTTGCAGCAGCAGAAGCGTCGGGCAAAAATCTTGTGAACTCATCAAGAAGATCGGGTTGATCGTCAAAGAGTGCAGCAACCTGAATAAATAACACGAAGTGACTAACAAACTCTAGTATTTCGATGAACCAAAGAAGACCAATTAACCATTTCGAGTAAAGCTTACAAAAGTTACCTCATGGTAGACTTCATTGATGCCCTTGTGTTCTTTCCGATACATGTTCAAGATGTCCAAAAAAGACTTGTAGACATGATCATCATTTTGGAAACGTTTCTGCAAACCAGGCGAGTTAGAATGTACATACTACAAAATTTATACTCCATCCCAAAAAAATGTCCACGATGAAAATGGCACACGGTTTTAAGAATGTGCACTTATTACACTTTTTAAATAACCAAATGACATTTTCACCCTTGGATAATAGAGAAAGAAACTTTCTCCATTTCATAATCAAGGGTAGAATGGGAAACTGAAGACCTACTTTTGAAAGTGGACACTTATTTTGGAACAAACTAATATAGTAAAGTGGACACTTAATTTGAGACGGAGGGAGTACTAATTTTTATGTTTACAAATAAAAATAGAAACTTCACCTTAATTTTGTTTACAAAGCTTATAGCCTCTTCAAACTCCACGGTTCTTTTTGGGGGAGGCTCCTCATCATCAATTACAGTAATTTCATATCCTTTGGGCAAGAAAGTGTTAAACCCAAAAATTAGATTATTGTGCCCTTTAAACAATTCTTTTACCCTTGCTATGACACCAGTAGTATCAATTCTGCATCAGAATAGTTATTGAACGAGTTATAATCGACTTAATAATCATTTCTATACAAAATCTAAACTCCTGATAAGAAACTGATGTACCTTTGAGCTTTAAAATCTTTCATTACATCAAGAAACATGTCATATTTTTCTCTCTGGTCATGGAACATGTCCTTAACTTCCTTTAGATATGTTAATGCATCATTGGTTGTGAGTTTTTGTGAGCTACTACCACCTCCTGCCCCTCCCCCTGCCCCTGACCCCCCTCCTCCTCCTCCTCCTGCACCTGCACCTGCACCCGCCCCTCCTGCTACCTCGCCCACTCCATCTCCCGGTACATGGGATTGGCCATATCTTCAACATGAAAAGAAAAGGATAAGTGAACACTTCACAATGAAATATCACAGCATATTAACATGAAAAACAAGTTGTAAAATGAACATCCAAACCCCTTGTGATAATCGTAAGTTATAATATTGACGGATACAATTATCATATTTCATGTTCTTAATTCCCTGGGTTCCAAAATCCTTTCACCCGATGCCATCATAGACAAGTAAAATGGGGATAAATGATAATTTAATCAAACAAAACAACATTTCCAATCAACTTTCTCCTTCTGTCTGCTAGCATTCTAATAAACAGATATCATACCCCGCCCCCAACCATCCAAACCCTAAAAAAGCTAAGAAACAAAAACCTAATTTGTATGCCAAGTGCACTTGTGCATTTCTGATGGTAATAACAAATTATTATCCAGAAAGATAAGAAATTTAGGGTTACATGATTGATATCCAAAACAGAAAAGATCAAAATCATGGTTTATAAAATATGTGACTCAAAAATCCAAACAACTTCAATTGCAAAATCTAATGTAAAACCATATGAAGCATCATAAATCCACAAAATCCAGAGCTATCCCCACATTTAGTTCCAGCAAATTCAAAGTCAAACGATTAAGCAATAAAACCATATTTGCCACACACAAAAATCAGCCACCCGAAATCATCACAACCCACACATAATACATTCCGACATAATCAACCAGTAAAAACGAATTAAAACCAACAAAATCAAAGCAATTGAGAGAAAGTGAAATCTTACGGTTCTCCTCGAGGAGAAACAAATGGCCGCTTGAATTGAGAGTTACTATACACATCATCGCGCAATCGTTTCATCCCTTCATCAAAAACAATCACATAAACAAATTAGCGTCAATCACAAACAAATTGCAAAGATAACAAGGACTAAATCGGTTTTTATGATATGAAACAAACAAACAAACAACAGAAAAGAAAAGGGATTTACCTGTGAAGTAACCCTCAGGGACAACAGATTGGGGAAAGATCCAAGCACCCAACAAAACCAAACAAGTTGAATCACCTTTAGAATAGATCGAAGTCTGGAAACAAGAAATAGTTGTGTTAGCAAAATCAAACTAGTTTGAGAAGAAGAACGAAGAGGTGAAGAAATTTTGTATTGAAAGGAGAGTAATTGTAATCAAAATTACATGACACTATTTATATAAAATCAGTATATGGGGTTTTTTTTAGCATTCGATTGAAATATACAAAAGGTCGGGTGGAGTGGGGGTGGGGG